GACAGATCGGTTTCAACTTACATTCCTGACCAAGTCATGAAGCGCAACGTCGTTCTTTGTAAACATTTGGCCCCAACTGCATGAGTCTAAATGTGGTTTCACGAACGTTGAAGGTGAGAGTCCCACGTGCTTGGCGGAAGTTAGTCCTATATAGCCGGAGTACGTAGTACGATGTAGCCAATGACGAGGATTCCTTGGCCTTGAGAATTGCCATTTTCCAGTTTCCCTTGGGTAAGACAGTAGGGTAGAAGAAGTTAGCCATCTTTTGAAACGCAGTTAAGGTGACCCTGTAATCGTTTACATTGCAAGCAACTAACGAATTGCATTAGTCAGACTGTTACAGGTAGGTTGCATGTTCTATGACACTTCAGGTTGCTATGATCATGTCGGTTTACTTTGTTTTCTTTGAATAGGCCCATCTCCAGCCTGCCTAAGCATTGTTCTCGACGTGGGCTCAACGTGAATCGACGAAGTTAGTTTAATGTTATTACTTGTGCTTTGGTTCCTCCCGTGTCGTGTTCGCAGTCTGGTTCAACAAAGCAAGCAAAAACGGTTAACGATTTATCAAATAGGTCCCTATTCGACACAGTAAGTGTCGTAAAACACTTTAGGCAGCACAAACACATGGTGTCTTGCAATGTTTTTGGACTGCGAGGTTATTTAATTTTTCTCAGTTGTTTATTGCTTGGTGCAGAAACGAATGTGCGTAATTCCGAAATGCCGCTATACGCGTTTCTTAAGGTGCTGTTCAATGGTCTCACGACTCTTGGAATTAACAGCATCGAGTCAATGCGCGTGAAATTGAATCGGTCTTTGTAGCAGTCCTTGCTTCAGAGTTCTTAACTTTCGGTGATGAGAAATTCCCACCGAAAGTAAAGTTTATGCCGTCGCAAACCAGGTAGTTGAGTTACCCTAGCCATGTTCAACCTTCTCTCATGCGTTGTTATTGTGAGTGTGTTATTCAAGTAAACAGACGCTGACTGCTAAGTAGAAAGTTGAAAAATTTCAGGTGTCGCCTTAACAGTGCCAAAACCCATCAGTTGAAAATGGTTTCCACTTAGTCTCCTATCCTGCTGCTCAGTCACTCGTCCAAGGCGCGGGTTGTACGATTCGGCGGATATAACTCCTTCACTCAAAAAAAACAGGAGTATGAAGCTCATTAAATTTGCGAAACGGCGGAAACTGCATATAAAGACCAACAGCTTTTTGGAAGAAACGCGCGTTGGTTTGATGCATTTACCGAAACACCCCAGATCCTGTCAGAGTATTCAACGGAAACAGTGCAATAGCCTTCTACGGTCTTAAATACAATGTGATTTGATGCTTCGCTTTACTGTTTTGTGATTTTTTTTACGAATATCTCGTTAAACGCATAAACAAGGTCCTGCATCTGTGTAACATCATTACGCGTTCCTTAAGGTTTTGGTAACTCGCCCTCGTTGGCAACCTAAAGTACCAATACCGAGTCAAAACGCGTTACATTAATCGGCGTAATTCTGTAGCAGTCCTTGCTTCAGATTCGCCTTTCTTTCCAGGTATAATAATACTGCGGAAAGGTACATTTGTATAGTCTTGCAAGTTTTGGTGTTTGCTGTTCCAATTGGGAATAACAACGTACTTCCTGTTTGTGTGTGGTCCGCGTTGACAATATTTAATGGGGTCGAGGCAACTAGACAAAAGCGAGATTTTCCACCACCTGTCGCATTGCGGTCTAACATACTTTGTTATATACAGACTCGTGTGTCGTACTTTAGAGCAATAAATCATATTGTTTGTGCCTTGGAAACATCTCAGACCTTTCAAATCCCCTGTTGATCTGCAAACTTGACTTGCCCGGACACCGTAGCAGAAACCAATGTCTTTGTTATAGATATTGCATGATCCGTTTGACAGTCTGCTCAGAAATATAACGGATAGCCCAGTGAAGTTATTCCGAGTCCAGCTGTAGAAGTACTCTGATGGAATTAATTTGACCGTTTCATTTCCCTTCTGTTTTTCAGGTATGTGGAGCGGTATTGGTCCGCGTATCATCATGATCGGTACGCTAACGGCTCTGCAGTGGTTCATTTACGATGGTTTCAAAGTCGCTATGAGGCTACCCCGACCTCCACCTCCTCAGATGCCCGAATCGTTGAAGAAGAAACTTGAAGGCCAGCAGCACTGAAACCCCCATCCCTGTGGTACATAATCCCGTCGTTTCGTCTGCGAGAACTCAGAATCCTAGTCCGTTTCAATTCTAGCACGTTGAACCTCGTGGACTAGTTATTTAGTTCACCGAAGATAAAAATCATGTTCTTTTGATGAAAATGAATTTTATTTACATAAAAGGAAACTGTACAAAATGGTATCATCTGCGAATAGTTCGGCGGCGTTTTGTGGGTTTCCGCCTCGGTGAATCATCTTCGGAAGTGGCCGGCGTAGATTCTTCACTATTTACAAAGAAGCTATCCAGTTCATATTCGTCATCTTCTGGCGTCTGCAACGAAAGTAACGAAACGAAGATAGTCACTGAATTCAGGGGTTTGTGAAAACGAACTGTAAACGTGTTTAACAAACCCAACTATCGACCAGGACCAAAATAAGGTTTTAAAAACACCCTAATCCCCGGGATCATCTAGTTGACCCGCGAATAAAATGGAAATCGAACCGCTGTCACTGATAGTGGTTCGGTATTAGACAAACGGTAAACTCGCCAAACCTCCTAATAGAGATGGGAAACGCCGTCCTGACATTTTTCATTAGGAAGAATCGTGTAGCTCCGATAATTTAAGTTGTAAAAATGACTGTTCTATCGTTGACATTGGTTGTTTGAGTGGTGCTTCACATGATGAAAAAAACTTTAAATTGTTGATCGTAGCGTCCTACGTTCGGTGCATTACCCAATGTCGTTTGCAAATCCCAGATCGACTGC